GGGTGTAGCTTCAGGATGGGCCTTGGTCTCAGAGAAGAGCTAGTTCTAAAGGTTGTTTACTTTTCTAGGGGAGGAATCTGCTTCTGCAAGCTTATCAGCTGTTAATTAAAAAAAAAAAAACCGAGCTCATAGCTAAAAGGTAAGTTCCTGTAAATCACCAAGTGTGCTTTGTATTCCCAGAGGAAAAAGAATGACAGGCTGCAGGTGAGGTTTTAACCAAAGGAGCTCATCTACTCCAGTTGTGCTCACCGAAATGTTATTAAAGCAGCTAGTACATGCGAGGACAACCACTGACCTACATGCCTAACCCTTTTCAGACAGTCTCATTGAATTGCCCAGACTTGTAGTCATCCTGGGTCAGCCTCCTGAGTTGCTCAAGTTTCAGGCACATGTCCCCAGGCCCAGCTCCAAAGGGATAACTTTGGTGTTTCTGTTTTGCTTTTTTGGTACAAGGAATTGGAAGTCAGGACCTCATGCTTGGCCAAGCATGCACCATACCACTCAGCTAAGTCCCCAGCCCCCAAAAGGATAATTTTGGATATTTAAGACAAAAGTTTTACTGTGGAGTCTAGGCTGGCTCTGACATAATTTTTCCTGTCTCTGCCTCCCTAGTGCTAGGATTACAGGTTTGGGTTCCCACATTTGCAAGACTGTCACTCACTTAAAAAACAATCTGTTCACAGTAGTGGTAGTTGTAATTTTAGAGCCCATTGACTGCTTATGTAGAGATAATGAGCTCTTTTTCCTTTTGCAGGGAACTTCCTTGTGAGGACCAACCTTTATCTGAGCCACTGTACTTGATTCTCAACTGCCTGCAGTTGGCTTAGCTGTTCTACAGCACTGATTAATCATTCAATTTTGTGAATGGGATTTTTAATAAACTGCTTTTTAGTTTATTTCCTTTTGTCTGTATTTGTGGTACTGCATTCCATTTCAAACTTGGGGATGAGAAGGAAATGTGTTGGTTATAGATTAGTTTTGTCTGATAGACTGTAATATTTAGCAGGGCCCCACCCTTTACTTAGAAGTTACATGTCTGGCACAAAGCATTATATACATGGTCACTGACACTCATGCCTTTCTTTGGTTTTTTGGGGACAGGGTCTCACTATGCAATTCATCAGGAGTAACGTGCCTTGTATCCTGTGTACCATTCCTCCCCTGGGAGATGGCCCTGGCTCTGGCAAGGAAAACTCAGCTTGTAGTTAGTTGCTGAGCTGATTCTTCTGGGAGCTGTTTATAACCATGGAAGGGATACAAGGAACCTCATCTTGGGTTAACAAGTTGTATTTATTGGCTCTCAAGTACACCAGAACGCAAATAGGAAGGGGAAGTCGTGGTTCTTCCCTCTGCCATACTGCGGCTTGAACCCAGAACTTTTCACGCTGACAGCATCACCCCTTCTTGTTTTGAGAGGGGTCTGAAGTTGCTGAGTTACCCAGGCTGGGCTCAGATTTACCATCCTGCCTCTACCTCCCACAGTGTTGGGATTATAGGTGCCTGTGCTGTTGCATCAACTTGAAAGTTGACATTATAGGGTCACTAATTGGTAGCAGATACTCAAGATTCTCTGAGTAAAATTCACCTATCCAGCCTAGCTTTTTGTTTGAGAGAGGGTCTTGCTCTGCAGTTCAGGCTGGCCTTCAGCTCACTTTGTAGCCCAGGCTGGTCTCAGACTCCCAGTGATCCTCCTGCCTCAGCCTCCCGAGTGCTGGGATTACAGGTGCGTACCACCATGCCCGGCTCCAGCCTGAATTTTGAAGCTAACAGAAGGACTAGGTGTGGACACACCTGTAATCCTACCATGCAGGAGGATCACTGAGTTTGAGGCCAGCCAGAACTGAACTGTGGAGGGATAAGGTGAACTCCAGGAAAAATTTGCCTCTACTCACATTCTGAAATAACTTAGGGGACTAATGTATCAAGTAGATGAATAATGTTCTCTTTATGAGACAAGTTGATCTCGAATTCACTATAGAGCCCAAGCTGGCCTGAAACTCTGGGATCTTGGTTTCTCACTTTATTCATAAGTTTGCTGGAAGAGTGTTCTCATCTTGGGTAACACTGGAAGCATAGGACAACTCACTTGCTTAACAGTTTGATGAAGTATTTCTGGTGAGAAATTTACATTCCTATGATGGCAGTCCACATGTGCTTTGCCATGTGTGTACAAGGATGAAAAGTTAATTCTGTATTCTCTACATGAGAAAGTAGGTTCAGGGATGGTAACCCTGTCCAAGTTCCTGCAGCCATTGGATGGAGGACTGTTGAGCCCTTCAGGTCGCCCGCAGCGCACAGCTATGCACCCTGCAGGATGCTCTTCCTGCTATACTGCGGTTTCTGTAGCAGCACAGCGTCGTCTCCTGTTCACTGTGTCATCAAGCCTAGGATTTAACTAGGTAAATGTCTGAATTTGCTGTGAGTTACTCCTACCTCTGTAACAGGAACACTGTCAAATCTCACCCCTTTTTTTGTTATTTTTTTGTTGGTTTGTTTGGGACAGGGTCTTGCTCTGTAGTCCTGGCTGGCCTTGAGCTCACTTAGTAGCCCAGGCTGCTCTCAAACTTGCGATGATCCTCCTGCCTCAGCCTCCTGAGTGCTGGGATTACAGGCATGCGCCACCATGCCTGGCTCATTGTCAATTTTCTGAGAACTCAAAAGTCAACAAATTGTCTGAAATATATTCAAATCTGCTAGGGGTAGGGAGATGCGAATTGCCTTCAGTCCTTAAACCTAGGCTAGATACTCCATTTTCCAGAAAGTGTAGCCAGGAAGATTCTTTTTTTCTGTTGGTGAAGATTTTATATTCCCTGGTATCTCACATCACTTTTTTGCTTTCAGGTCCCAGCACCTGTGGTATTTCTATCAGAACCTAGAACTAAAGTTTTCCTGTTGAAGCTTATAAAATAGTAGCACAAAGGAGAAAAACGAAAACCTCCAAAGAAGTTAGGTGTGTGAGTGACTGGGATGACTGAGAACCACTTAACTCCAAGGAGAATTGAATATGCAGTCTGGAAGGTTTGATTTTTTTTTTTTTTTGAGACAGGGTCTTGCTGTGTAGTTCAGGCTGGACTTCAACTCACAGCGATCCTCCGGCCTGCAGCTCTGGGGGTGCTAAGATTACAGGTGTGCACTTCTATACCCAATGGTTTGATTGGATTTTGATGTGGCTAAAGAATCTGAAAGCACTGGGTGTGGTGCCACATGCTTGTAATCCCAGCCCTTGGGAGGCTGAGGCAGGAGGATTGCCATGAGTTCCAGGCCAACCTGGGCTACACAGGGAGATCCTATCTCAAAAAAAAAAAAAGAAGCTGGGCATGATGGCACATGCCTGTAATCCCAGCACGCGGGAGGCTGAGGAGGATCGTTGCGAGTTCAAGGCCATCCCGGGCTACAAAGTGAGCTCAAGGCCAGCCTGAACTGCATAGTGAGACCCTATCTTAAAAAAGACCAAAAAAAAAAAAAAAAAAAAATCTAAAATGTAGTCAACTATTATTGCAAGGGAGAGAGAAAAAAATAAGGCAGATAATGTTCAAAACAAATATTGGGTAGTGTTTAACAGAACCAGAGAGAAAGGTTGATAGGAATGCATATTTTATTCCATGGTACAGCACGTTTTACCAAAGATTCGAGTGAAATGCTCTGAAATTTCAATGTCTAATCAAATTCTCCTTCTGCTTGAGAGTAGCCCAGTCTTCTGAGAGAGCTCTAGCACATCAGGACCCAGGCTGAGTAAAGAGAAACATAGCAAACATAGGCCGGTGGGCATTCTAGGTCATTGTTTTGCTGTTCCAAGATTTGAGAAACAAGAGACCTAAACGTCAGGGATCTTACAGTGAGGATCCAGTCAGCTTTGAGAGCTCTCCCAGCTTTAAGAATAGGGAGCCCAAGGCAGAATTGCAAGTTTGAGGGCAGCCTGGACTACCCAGAGAGTCCAAGACCCTCCCTAGCCCACCAAGCACTGATCTCTGAGGAATGTTTGGCTTTAGCACCTCCCTCCCTCAAGGTGGAAGACACACTGTATGGAATTTTCATTTCTTTTTTCAAAATGGAAGTAATTTAGAAAAATGTTGCTAAAGAGAAGCCTTATTTCTGGCCCTGTTGTTGTAATATTTTATTCAGGTGCCCTGAGTTTTCTTGGAAATTGTATGAGCCTAGAATGCCAAATCTGGGTGCCTGGTTTTGGCTCTTAAAAGATTCATCACTGCAGAGCCAGGTGTGGTGGCACATGCCTCTGTAATCCCAGCACTTGGAAGGCTGAGGCAGGAGGATCATTGTGAGTTTGAGACTGGTCTAGGCTACAAAGTGAGTTCAAGGCCAGCCTGAACTGCATAGCGAGACCCTGTCTCAAAAAGCCAAAAAAAAAAAAAAAAAAAATTATCACTGCAGTTACCAGTTATTTATTCATTCTTTTTTTTTTTTGGTACTGGGAATTGAACTCAGGACCTTGCACTTGCTTGTTAGGCAGGCACTTGTGCCGCTGAGCTATATCCCCAGCTGCAAATTATTTACTTTTGTGAGTTCTCCTAATTCTAATGCACTCTCCAGTTTTATGTAGTGAGCATTCACAGCCAGGTGTGGGGGTGCATGCCTATGATCCCACCATTTGAGAGGCCAAGGCAGAGACAGGAGGATCACTACAAATTCAGGGCCAGCCTGGGCCGTGTAGTGAGACCTTGGCTTTAAAAAACAAACCAACAACAACAAAAAAAAAACAAGTGAGGATTTGGGGGAGTCTGCAGCACTCCATTAACATAAAGACTCCCGTGAGGACAGCCTGCAGTGTGGGCCAAGTGTATTTCTACTTTTGGTGGCGGTACACAACCTGTAATCCCAGCACTTGGTGGCTGAAGCAAGTTCCAGGCCAATCTGGGCTACAAAGTGAGCGCAAGTCCAGCCTGAACTGCATAACAAGACCCTGTCTCAAAAAGACCAAAAAAAGAGGCTGAGGCAGGAGGATCACTGCAAGTCTGAGACCAGTGTGGGCTACACAGTGAGCTCTAGGCCAGCCTGAACTGCATAGCAAGATCCTGTCTCCAAAATAAAAAAAAAAAAAAAAGGAGGAAGACACAACGGAAAGCTGCTTCTGTATAGCTCTTTATAGACCAAAGCCTGGACGGGAGAAAGAGTTTGGGCTGGGAAGCTAGGTTCCTCCCCTGGCCTCCAGGCAAGCCTCACTGAATGCACCTTGGAACTTCCACATGCGGGGGTTCCCTTGTTGTCCCCTTGGCCTATAGAATTTAGCACCTTTTAGGTCTCAGGGCTGGGGAGAACCTTTATCCAAAGGGAATGTGGGAAATCCCCACCATGTCTCCCCCTCCCTGGCGCTCAGTCTGTGGCCTCCATCTTGACCCCCCGGGGCACCAGGAAGACCGCGCCGTCCGCGGCCTGCTGCAGTGCGTACTCTTCGGGGGAGTAGCTGTTGCCGGCTTCGTCCCGGAGGTGCTGGAAAATGTCACGGTAGAGCTCCGCCAGTTGCTGGCGCATGACCTCCAGGGTACGGTCCGCCTCCCCGCGGGCCCTGAGAAGCCGCTCCCTTTCGCTGCCCAGCCGTTCGAGCTCCCGCTCCAACTGTACGATGGTCTCCAGCTTTCTCTTGCGACAGTTCTGGGCGGCCACCTTGTTCTTGCCCCGCCGTCGGATGTCCCGAACTAGCGCCAGCTGGCTCTCCGTCAGCGGGTACCGTGCCAACAGCTCGTTAAAGTCATCTACAGGCAAGTTGACAATCTTGTCCGTCGGGAAGGGGATCTTCATGGCCAGAGCCCGACGCTCATCGCGACTCCCCGCCTCGCCCCGGGCGGTAGACTTAGCTCGCACAGGGCCTGGGGAGGGCTCTAGGGCCAAGGCGGGCTCAGCGGAGGGCAAGGCGTAGTTGGGGTGGGCCAAGGAGCTGGGCAGAAGTGAGTAAGGGTACTCCACTGGGTACATCTCCACGTACTCGCTCCGGCGCCGGCCAGCCTCTGTCCCCTCCAGCTCCAGAGACTCCGCGTCACTGTAGTTGAGGGATAATCCTGAATCGGATTCGGGGTCCTCCTGAGTCTTGGGTGGCCCCACTGGCAGCCCAATGTCCAGAAGGGCTAAGGGGTCTGGGAGGGGCTCATTGAGCAGGCCTGAGAGGGTCAGCGGCTTGGACACTGGCATGGCCATGTTGCTGTAGGAGTATGGGGGATCCGGGACGTGGGCGGTGGATGCCGGGAGCTCATAAGGCGGTGGAGGAGGTGGGAAGCCGGCGTCGGGGTGGACAGAGCAGGGGCAGTAGGAGAGAGGCGGTGGAGGTCCAGGGTATGGGGCTGAGGCTTGGGTCTCAAAGGACGGCTCACTTGGAGCATTTAGACCCTGTAAGGAAAGACACACAGAGAATTTGGAGACAGGCTGAGAAAGAGAAACCAGCAAACAAACCAGGGGCAGTGGTGCATGCGTGCAATCCCAGGTACACGGGAGCCTGAGGTGGGAAGACTTCGAGTTCAAGGCCAGGTTGAGCAGCATATTAGAGAGAGAGAGAGAGACACTGGCACTCCCTCAGGATCAGATAGGGGCCTTCTGAAAGAACCAGTGAGATTCAACGGTGACAAGAGAGTGGAAAGTTATCAAAAACCACTGGAAGCTTCATATGCAGTGGCCATCCAGCCGTGGCAAGAAGAATAAAGGTCCCGGAGGTCAGCTTCAGCGGTGACCACCTAACACTGGAAGTTACAGAACCTCCTCAGAAGAAGGAGCTCTGAGTAGAAATGACTCCTTTATTTATTTATTTTTTTTTTGTTTTTTCTCCGGTACCGGGAACCGAACTCACGACCTTGCGCTTGCCAGGCAGGCGCTTTTGCCGTTGAGCTAAATCCCCAGCCCCATGACTCCTTTAATTCTTTCAGGAAAATAAGTCCGTGTTATTCAAGATAACCCCTCAGAACCCTTTCCTGCTGTGGTTACCTGGGGTCAAAGGGTCAAGTTCACTCCCTGGCCATGCCCTGGGTGCCCAGCAGAGGGAGCTGTTGGGTGGAAAGAAAGGCCTGGGGCAGATCCTGAGGGTCCCAGGCCTGGAGGCAGGGGAGGGCTGGGAGCGAGCAAGCACCTTGGGGAGCCAGCACCGGCTCTGCCCTCTCCTTCAGTGCCTGCCCAGGTGCAGCGAAGAGGGAACATGCTGGAAAGAAGGCCCCCAACCCACATGGGGGAGCCACCCTGCTCCAGGGCAGCCGGTGACAAAGGCATCATTGTTAAGCCAACAGACACCCCTTTGTCCAACCCGCAGGAGGAGAGGACCCCAGCATAGCCCGACTCCCCTGCCTGAGGCCCCTGAACTGCTGCTGTGCTACCTGGGAGAAAGGGGACCAGTTGCTAAGGGCAGGGGAGAAGATGGGGGAAGATGGGCAGGTGGAGGAGAGGGAGGTCCGAGGAGAGGAGGACAGAGAGGAGTGCAGCAGAGAGAGACAGGAGCAGGGCACCTGCTGCGGGAAGCCTGCACCCCAGTCAGGTCCTTCCCTCCCCACCTGCTCATCCCCGCCCCCTCCCACCCAGCTTCCAGGCCTCCCGCCCACCTGCCCCACCCGCTCCCACCTGCTGCGGCGCTCCCTCTCCAGTCTGCGGCTTCCCTAGCCCTGATCCTGTTCCTGCCCAGCCTTGCCTCCCGCAGGCCAGTCCCCGGCAGCCCCCTTCTCCCTGGGCCCGCTCACCTGCAGCTCAGTGATGGACATGATCTCCTGCCAGGTCAGTTCCATGTCGCCCTGCTCCGGCGTGGGCAGCTGAGTCACCCTGTTCCTGCTCTGCCGAGGAGGACACGGGGGCACCCTACTGGGCCAGGGTCCGGTGCAAGTTTCCCCAAAGCCCAAAGGGCCCAGCAACCTGTGCAGCAGGGAGAGAGGCTTTAGAGCTGCTCCTGCTGGATTTGGAAGAGCCGTCCCGCCCCTGTGGAGGGCTTCCCCCAGCTCCACCCTCCCTCAGCTCCTCAGCTGGACTCATCAACCAACCCCACCCCTTCCCCTGGCAGACAAAGAGGGTCTCACTATGCAGCCCAGGCTGGCCTCCAACTCACTGCGATCCTCCTGCCTCAGCCTCCCAAGTGCTGGGATTACAGGCATGTGCCACCACACACGGCCACCTGGCAAGTTCTTTTCTGTGGTGTGGACCCTGTCTCACCTATGACAGCCATAGTCAGTTCCTTTGGGAGCACAGCAGGTCTTTCTTTACCTTCTTTCTCTGATAGGATGCCTTCTTTCTCCCCTCCTTCTTACTTCCCAAAACTGTAGTCTTGGGCAGAGACAGTCAGGTCTCCCAGGGTGTTTTGGTTGGTTTGTTTTTGCGTTTTGTGAGGAAATATCAAGAGTCACCCTGCTTTCCTCCTGTGTCTTCAGTTTTAGGGTCTCCACCTTCTTCCCTCCAGATGCGACTAAGTGCTTGGGGTTCCCCAACGAGAGTGTTGTGGGAAGTGCTAAGCAGACAGCCCCTCTCCTCAAAGATACGGCCTAGGCCTGGCCGCCGATAGCAGCCCTGCCCTCTCCTCCTATCCTGACCCTGGGCTCCCCTGCCTGGACCAGACAGATAAGAGGTTTATCAGCTGCAGGCAGCACAGCCAAAGGAGGATTGGGCCCCAGAGACATGGAACCTCTACCCTGCGTCCCCACAGGGGCATCTTGGCCATACCCCGACCTTCCTAGGCAGTGGTCTTTTGTCTTCCAAGGTAACATAACAACCATAGCAAAGACTTAATAAACGCTTGTCAGCAGCTGTGCCAGGGAGACTGAGTTCTACAACGACCCTGGAAGGTCCATTCAGAAACTGAGACCCAAGCTACTAAAAAAAGAAAGAAACAAAAAAGAAAAGAAGAGAAAAGAAAAGAAAAAGACCCAAGCTGATAAATGGCACAATGGCTGGGCAAGGTGACACACACTTGTGATCCTAGCACTTGAGAGGCTGAGGCAGGAGGATTGCTGCGAGTTCAAGGCCAGCCTGAGTTACGTAGTGAGTTCAGAGCCAGCTTGAATTACATAGCAAAAACTTGTCTCAAACAAAACAAACCAAAACCAAAAAAAAAAAAAAAAAAATAGCATGATGAGGTCTGGAACCTAACCTGACTCCCCCACCATGCCTTCCAGGTACCTCCCCAACCCACGCCTGGGT